CCAAAAATAAAAAACACTCAAAAAATTTTTTTTAAAATTTTTAACGTTCAACGATGAGAATTTTTTTCTCTTCCTAATGATGCCTCAAATTAAGCTTTATCTTCATTATTTATTTCGGAAATCAAATTTTAAACCTTATATTATAGCGTGAAGTTAGCCCCCCCCCCCCGATATTCAAAATTTGAGATTTTTCAAATTTTTTCAATGGGATTGATTTGTACCGTTTCTAACTCGATTTGCACTATTACCGTTTTCCAGCTATTGACCGTTTAAAATATGGCGCCAAAAATAAAAAACACTCAAAATTTTTGTTTTAAATTTCTTAACGTACAACGATAGAGAATTTTTTTCTCTTTCTAATGATGCCTCAAATTAAGCTTTATCTTCATTATTTATTTCGGAAATCAAATTTTAAACCTTATATTATAGCGTGAAGTTAGCCCCCCCCCCCGATATTCAAAATTTGAAAAATGTTTTTTTATAAAAAAAGATACTTACAACGTCAAGAGATGAATTTCCATCTATTGTTAATTGAGGTAGGTTTAAGATATCTTTCGCTCCAGCTGCTGCTAATTTCATCGTAGCATTGAGGGAGGTTATAGGATGTAATACAAAATCATCTATTCTTATTGGAAGACTTTTATTAGCAAGTATTCTATTTTTAATATTATTAAAGTTCCTCTCCGATGAAGCACTTGACGCTGTGATGTTTGCATTTTTATAATATCTGACCATAATCGCAGTTCACAAGGGTAATAGTTTTAGAAGGTGTAAAATTGGGGTAATTATATCAGGTAGATATTAAAGATTGTCATGATCTCCTTGATCTTCTAACGTATTTTTAGCCTCTTTTAGAAGATCAGAATCCTATTGCGCGAATTTATTATTAGCTGATTGGGAATCAATGAAATAATCGATATCATATAAGAGCTCCTCAATTTTATCATTCTCCTTTTCTGGTTGATTTTCTGAAAAGTCTATATTAAGATTTCCAAAGGCAAATTTTTCTTTAAGCCAACTTTTTGCGATTTCACATTGAGTAATTTCTTTAGGATTGTGAATATTATTTCCTTCTGGCTCACTTAATGCTATAACAAATATTGAATATAAAGTTTTTCGAAGATTTTCAATATCCTCTGCTATTATCATTTGGCCTACGGCCCTTATATAAAATTCCCTTATACGACGTGATTTTCCTTTAAGACATTTCCACGTTGTTACTAATTTTATTGTGTGAGCCACATCACATCGGATATAACAACGTGGATTTTTTATTGATGAGGGATTAAAAATAAAGTAATGGTAGGCCATTATATAATTATTTTAGGATGAATATTCTGTAAAGGCAATGTAAACAGCCGATAACAAGGCAAGTGACATGTGGGTTATTATTTCATTGGGCACTGTGGCTCCATCTCGTATCCAAAATTTTAGCCAAATGGCTATACTATCTATATCATGCCTTTCGGAAAGCATGTTACACACCGAGTAATGTTGTTTGAGGATTTCTCACAGCAATATCATATAAGAATATAGGAACGGATTTTTTTCCAAACGGTCTATCAATATTGCGTACCACACCACCAGTGGCATCTATAGATATTTTTGAATATGTTTTTACACAATAAGCTTTATAAACTTGCATTTGCTCCCTACTCCAATAATGGACATAAAATCTGTCTAAACCTATATTCGAATAGAGTTAATATATGGTATCGTGTTTTTTGCCAATGCTAATGCGAAAATTGGATCTTCGTCGTAGCGATTTGCCATAACGGCCATAGATTTGGCTTTTCTAATAACCTCGGTTGAGGGTAGATGAGCGGGCTCTCTCTCACCGAATTTCATAAATTTACTTGCTAATTCAGTAAGAAAGACACTGCAAGGTGAGTTGGTTTTAATAATTTCATTTACAAAATTTTCCCGTGTCTCGCCGGCTAACCTCCCTTTTTTATTCAGCTCATGACCTTCTCTAAATTGGCCTTTATAAACGCATTTCACTATAACTCTCTGTTCCAACTCCGGACGTACAAGAATAATCGCTTTTAAATTAGATTTACAATTGAATAAGTAATTCCGAGTTGATATTTTTTTTAATAGGTGCCATGTCTTAAAAAAAAATATATTTTTTAAAAATTTTATATAGGTTATCGGTCTACCGATGCAATAAAATGTAAACCGGTAAAAATTATATGTATCTTCTTTACAGCACAGGATTAAATTATAATTTCAGTAATATATCTTAATAATTTTAAAGGAAATTTAGTTCTATATTAATTGGGCTCAGGTAAAAAGGAAATAAAAATAAGAACAAGTTTTAGGAACGGAATCATTGTAATATTTTTATAAATAAATTTTAATTGTTAGCCACTATAAAAGATCAAATCCGGTATTTAAAATTATTTAATGAACCTAATTTTTAATAAATTTGATATTATTATACTCATAAAACTTTGCAAAATTATAAGAGTTTTTAAACTTTGCTATAAAATTTAATTTACATAATAATGATTATATATTTTAATAAAATTTTAAAATCTATCATGTAAAAATCTTTTAAATAATATCAAAATTATATTTTTTATAAAAGTGAAAACTTTGTCCTACATGCCCCAAATAGCGGGGTGAAACGATATACTTCAAGAGGTTTCCTAAATCACTGGTTTAGGCCAAAATAAATTGGATAGCATATTTATTTAATAATAAAGATACGTATATAATAATTTAAATGTTCAAAATATCTTACTTGTAAATTGAAGCTAAATATAAAAAATTTCAATTACGACAAAATGGCATGCAGACAGGCGCGTACGCAGGAATTTGGTTTGGGGGAAGGGGGGGGATAATAAATTTTTTTAAGAAATAATATTTTTAATTAAAAATACTAAGCATAAATTTATTAGGATTAATAACTTTTCTAATACACAATTTTAAACTAATGTGAATTAAAAAAATTATATATATAAACCGGCATTTAAATGTGAATCATAAAATATAAAGTGAATATAACCCACGATATGAATCACCTAAAAGACCCAAAATTGAAATTTGAATTTTTTGAGCTTCTAAAATATATAAAGTATAAAAAATTTAAATGTTGTAAATATAAATTAATACATAAAAAGTTTCTTAGGAATAATTGTATTTTGTATGTTTTGAGCTAATTTTTCAATTATCAATCCTTGCTTGGCGTTAAATGTCTATGAATATTCAAAAGATCCAAATCATTCAATCTACTTTCAGATGTTGTATTTCATAGGTATGTTTTTCACAGACTTGCAGGCCCGGCCCCTGAGCCGGACCGTATTTTAATTTTTTTAAATATACCCGGGCCGGGCTCGTAATTTTTTTTTAAAAACACCCGGGCTGGGCCTGAACATTTTTTAAGAAAAAATATCCGAGCCGAGTTGTATATTTTAAAGCCAAATATTTGAAATCGCCATTATTAGCTATAAATATCAAAAATAAATATAATTTATTTTAAAAAATTCGGGCTAAGCCAGCCGGGCCGGGCCTGAAAATTTTTTTAAAAAAAACCCGGGCCGGAAAAAATTTTAAAATAAAATCTGGGCCTGGTCCTGCAAATGGTACCTCTGCAAGGCTCTGTTATTCTTCTTAAAAAAGTGAATGTTCTCTCATTAGTTTACTAAAGAGCTGCTAATATATATATAACCATTTTAATAATTGGGAGTATAATCTAAAATGTGTTTGAAATAAAAAGCATCCATAGCATTTTTTGGGACTGTATCAACCATAGTTAATCTTGTAATTATAGTTATTCAGCTAATAAGGCATCATAAGATATTTTAACATCTCCATGATAAAAATATAACAAATATTTATATTTTTTTTCTATCACCATATGAAAAAGGTTGGGAGAGGGGACATTTGTTTTATAATACTCTTCTACTGATCCTATATTAATTTTTTGATGATGAGCTTGCTTGCTTCAAGTCGAGGGGGACAAATATTTAACACGTATAGCTCTGCTTTTGACTCAACAATAACATATAAAATATGAAAATCTTCAACAACACTAGCTCTATTTCCTTGAGTTCTAATAAAATGCTCTCCGCTATTCTCATCTTCTTAATCAAGTCAATGTTATGTTTTTAAAAGTATTACATAAAATAGTTGTATAATTAAATAATTCATTCTAATGAGAAAAAAAATTTGGAATAAGTATTGAATCCAATAATTTTCTTGCTTCTGAGGAAATATTTATTTCAAGCCATTGTGATATTTCAGTAATAGCATTAATAATCAGCTCTTCTAACTCCAAAATAGCTGTTACTGTGACGGAGACTCGATCTCGTTGGACAAGCTTGCAATTTAATTTAACAACACTCAGCCTAGAATTAAAAACAAAAACTCCAACAATAAATTTTTAAGCAAAATATACCTGTTAACATATTCATTATTAAGTTAAAACTCTTTTTAGAACCTTCGATATTTAAAATATATTTTTTTTAATTTTATATATTTTTATATGCTGTTTTAATATTAGTATTTTTATAATTAAATTCTAATGAATAATGATTATTCTTTTATTTGTAAAAAAATACTTATTTAACTAGTACTTTTTATTAGATTTTGCCTTGATTATTTGGTAAGTTAACTATTGTAAAAAACACTTATTTAACTAGTTCTTTTATTTCATTTTGCTTTGATTATTTGGTAAGTTAACCATTGTAAAAAAACATTTATTTAACTAGTTCTTTTAATTTCATTTGTCTTTGATTTTTTATATATATATTCTAATTTTTGTATAATATGTTTTGAAAAAGTCAGTTATACTAAAATAAAAATATTATTTTTACAAATTCTCTAAAAGGAACCATAAAGAAAAATTTAGAAATCCTCATTTGATGATCATTATAAATGATCTTAGAATAAAACAAATTATAGATAATTTAAACGAAAGATCTTAGAATATAATTAAGCACATCTTAGAAAAAAAATCAAAATACTATTTTTATTTTGTTTTTAACGATGATTGACGGAAACAGACTGATTTTCGAAATTTGTCAGGTTTACCAAAAAAGATGTCCTACACTAACCGAAAATAAAAGTCCCCGTTTTGAATAGTAAATCGAGAATGCGAAAAGCAACCTGAATATTTGGAAGTAACAATTTTTTTTATTGATGAAAAACCAACAATTTATTATTATAATGATTTTATTACTAATATATCTTTCTAAACATTTCAATTCCAAATTTGAAATATTATATGCAATTTGAATTATTTATTTAATAAACATCTATATTTTTCTGATAATAATTTCAATAAATTACCTAAACCTTTATATACTAGTCATGAATTCTTGAACTCAATAAATCCAGTTATTTATGATGCAGTTATAATTAATAATAACGATATTGTTTTTGATTGAACTATTTCTAATTCAAAATGGATATGTTGAATTTATGTTATTCATTGGTTTCCCTATAAATTCTACAACTAACTATTTGTTTTATGGCTGTAAAAAAACCTTTTGTGGCCTTTTATTGCTCAAGAAACTAGTATATTATAGCTTAAAAAATCCAGGGATCCAAGCCGAATCCTAAACTGGAATTAACTTATTATTTACAGAACCTGAACTGTTAAACTGAACCTCTAAAAATATTTGTTAATTGGTTTTACCAACTCTTTTATAGTATATATAATTTTTGATTGATAGTATCAGTAAGTTTTTCCTGATATTTTTTTATACTATTATTTAACCCTGCCAACCACCCTGGTTAGCATATGGAAGTGTTCTCAGCAGGGATGCCTCCTAAAAAGGGGTTTGGGTTCTAGTTCAATGATATATCTCTGAACCCGGTTTGGGTTCAGAGGGGCTATGATCTGGAAAAAATAAAGACTTATTTAGTAAAAATAAGGGAAGCATCAGTCTTTATAAAATAATTTTTACCAAAAATGTTTTTATATTAAAAATTAAAAAAAACTATATTATATTAAATAATTTGCATGTTATCTATATAATTTTATTTATGTTATTTTTAATATATTTTTTAAAATAAATAAAAATTTAATATTTAATAAAAAGTTATTGAACCCTGAGCCTTAAATTTAAAAAAAGGGTTCAGATTTGGGTTCAATAAAATATTGAGGGATTCTGGTTCACAGCCATAAAATTTATTCCTTCTCCTTAAAAATATAATTTGACAGAAGAAAATATTTTAATTGTAATATTTTTTGGGGCTGGTTCAATATATACAATTTTAATAAGGTTTTGTATAAACATTTGAACCTTTTAAAGGTTCAAACCTGTCTGATATTATTTTTTCTTAAAAACTGGACCTGACTGGTGAATCATTAGCTTTGTCTAAACCTGAACTGAAATATATGTTACAGTTCAGATCCCTGTAAAAAGATAACATATGATGACCATTTTTACGTATCTATGAATTATGAAAAATCATTTATCAAATTATATTTTAGCAAATTTAATGCAATTATTTATAAAGGAATTAAAGTTTTGTTAATTCCTCAATTAAATTCTACAAATTCCTTAAAATTTTAATATTCACTTTCTACAAACTTATATGATTTTATAATTAAAATTTATTAAAATATACCTTCAAAATAATTCCATTCAAAGTAATATGGGCATTAATTACTGATAAATAGAATATATTATTCTATTCAAGGAATCGCATTAGAAAAAATTAATTTAGAATGATATAAATAAATTATATATTTGCCAAATGAATATATTTTACATATTGTAACTGGGAACTATAATGCATTAGGTTTATTAACCATTATTCTAAATTTACCAGAGAAATGATTACTATGATATTTTATGAATTGGATAAAAAAAAAATAAAAATACAACTTTTTCTTTCATTGAATGAAGGCTTGTTATTTGGCATCTTTATAATTAAGTAATAAAAATTTTATTTTGAGGAACTTGTTGAGTTTGACCAAGAAAATTTTTTGATTGAAATTGTTATATTTCAATATAACTACTCTTGAGAAAAATATAATTTAAACAAATATTGTTTTTAGACAGAAATCAGTGGCGTATATAAGGGGCCATAACCACCGAAAAAAAATTTTTTTAATAAAAAAAAAATTTCATTCTTATTGCGAATAATTTTATTTAAAAAACGGTTTCATTTTATAAACAAAATTATATACGATATGAAAATGAAATATATTTAAAAAACAAATAAGAATTTATAATTAATTATAACATGGTTTAAAAATATATATTAAATAACAATAAAAATATATTGTAAATTTTTTCTGGCATAGAAAAATTCGATATTTATAAATTTCATAATAAAATTTATATTGTTAAACTAATTAGATAGCTTTTAAAATTTTAATTAATTTTTAAATAAAAGAATAATCATTTAATTTGGTAAATGTAATGAGAAAGTAAAGGTGATCGCTAATATGTTTGGGATTAAAAATTTTAAACCTAGAGTAGTTTCTAGATAGTCCAATCGCTTAAATATTGATGCATCTACGATTTAGGATTTTTATAAAATAAATATTTTACTCCCCTAATTTATACATTCTTATTTCAATTAAAGTAAAGATTTATTAGTCACAATTTTATTATAAACAGCTTTTATTTTCTTTTGCCGGGTGAGTCAATACACTTGAAAGTGAGAAGATATTAAGAAAATCTCAGAGTTTTATTCTAATGAATTATCAGGATCGTATGATAAGTTACTTTGTGATGTCGAATTTTGGTATAAAAATTTTGACAGAATAGAGTACTCTTTGAGATCAAAAAATGCTCCCTTTCCATGTGTCATTGCACTTTAGATTCCATGCCTAATATCAAAACATTGCTTTTTATTTTAGCTACCTTACCGATTAGCACCTGCACTCATGGAAGGTCTTTTTCAACTTTGAAAAGGTTAGAAACCTATTTAAGAAATAGCACCTGTGAAAGCCGCTTTAATAGATTCGCAATATTAAATATTTATAAGGAGATTATTCTAGATAAAAATTTGATTCTAGATGAATTAGTAAAATCTCAGAGAAAAGTAGACCTCTCTTTATAAATTCAAATCATAAAATTGCTATATTATTTTAATATGTTCTTAGTCATAAAATTTTTATATTCAAAACGTAATTATGATGAATTCTTAGTCATAATATTTATATATTATACTATTTTTAATAAAAATATTGCATTTGCAATAAGAATTAGTGATCTGCATTGAGCCTAATTTTTCAAGCCCGGCCCGAAATTATTTTAAAAAAGTTTTGCATGCCCTAACCCGAAATTTTTTTTAGAAAGTTTTGTCGGCCTGGCCCTAATTTATTAAAATATAGAAATTCATTTTTATAATTACTCAAAATATTATGTTATAAGGCGTCTAGTTTTTACAAATAAAATCAAATATTTATTTTACATAAAAAATTTAACATAAAATTGATATATTTAAAAAAAATTCTTAGTCCCGACCCAACCTGGCCCGAATTTTTTTAAAAATATTAGGCTCTACCCAGCCCGAACCCGATTTTTCTACTTTTGCAGATCTCTAATAAGAATTATTTATGTTTTAGTAATATACTCATTTGTATTAATTATAATTATAAATTAGACTTTTTTAAATACCGTATAAGAATTACTCATATTTTATTGTAATCTTTTTTTTTTAAATATAATTATTTAGAATAAATTTTTAATATAATCTGTATAAAATTTATACATTTTGAAATTTATTTTATCGTATATTATCATTAAAATAAATACATAGTTAAATAAAGGGGTGTTATTTATACTAAAGTATTTTAATAATAAATACAATCTATAATGAAATTCTCTGCAATGCAAAAATTTAATTAAAATATTTATTTTTAACATAGAATAAGATATATTGAGTGATCATAAAAAATGGGAGGTTGGGGGGGGGGCGATCTTTTTCTTCTTTCTACACCGAATGCATAGAATTAATTTACAATTGACTACACATTGATAAAATTGTTTAGAATAATGCTTTCAGTTGTGTATTAATCATAAATTTGGCCAAAATTTTGTTACTAATATTTTTTTCATTTATGCTAGTTACTATAGTAAATAGACACTAATTAAGCACAAAATATTGGCAAATTTTTAAAATGCAGTTTGTGAAGCCTCGAAAAAAATTTAACCCCCCCCCCTCTCCATGGATCAATCTTGGCTATGCCACTGACAGAAATGAAGAATTTGATATTAGATTTTATACCACAATGATAATAGATGCATCTGATGTAGAATTGTTTAAATATTATTTAGATGAAGAAACTAAAACCATATTAAATAATGGGCTGATTAAGCACTCATTTATCATAAAATTGTTTTGCAAAAATGATTTTTTTTTTCACCCTCAACTTATATTAATTTATATACCAATTTTAATCTCACATCTTTACTAAATCAAAAAGATGCTGAAATGTACATATCTCAAAATATGAGGATTTATCCATTACAAAATCTATGTAACATCTGCACTTACAAGATTTTAAATATATGGGTTGGTTGCCCTCCATTAAGTAGATTATTCATTTATTCTATTATAAATATCTTGATAATATAGTATTGGAAAACAATCACTACAATTTTAATATTATAAAATCTTATGTATTCAAGATACTTTCTATTTAATTCTAAAATATCAATAGATCCTGAGTACTTTTAAGGTGGCTTTAACTGGAAATTTTACATCAGTCATCGACATATATTTCCCTCAGCAGTATCCATAACAAAACTCTAAAAATGTTTCAGAAGTAAAATACATTTTAATTCCAATGGTTGTACATAAAGAAATTACATGACTAACTTTGCATGTAATATACAATAGTGAAAATATCACAAAAACAATTTTAAGAAAATTGGGTAATAACAACTTGCGTAGTTATAATGAGAATAAAGATTTGGATACCTATATCCATTTGTTTATATATACATTCCCAGTTGTGAAACATAGATGAGCTATTTAACCTGAATTCAAATTATACTGAGCTACCAAGAGGTGGATCAATATTAACCATATAAATAAATTTACATTTTACATACAGATAATAGATGAAACTGTCACCTTTTGATGAATTGTTTGGTTTTTTGCATCTATATTAGTGAATCAAATGTTATTGACATCAATAACACAAAAGATC